GAAGAAACAGCCTAATTCACCTAAACCAACAAGAGAGGCCCTGGAAGAAGCCATAATAGGTAAAAAAGAATCAAACATGATAGGTTTTACTATGATAAATGTGTGAGAAAAAGAATAGTTCCTAACAATGAGCGATTACATATATAGCAACCATGAAAATGATGATTGTAAACCTAATCGATATGAAGAATGGATAAGTGATAAAGATGAAGATTATCAAGAGTTGCTAGAATAGCTAGCATTAGAATCAGGCCATATACTAACCTGAAATGAGTATAATGCCAAGGAAGAGATGTGGTGGCCCAATAACAAATAAGAAAAAGATCAACCAAACCCGGATAAAACATATAGTGTGGAGCTATCTAAATGGAGAGTACCAGATAGAGAGTTGATTATAGTGATGATGATGAATAGGATAATAAGAATGTTAAAACTTGGTGGCTACCTGAAGAAGATGATTGTATAGCCGACCAAGATTAGGGAAATAATTGGTACGATGATGCTAAAGAATATGAAGAGTTTATGATAAAAGTAAAGAATAGCAACTCAGAAGAAGAAACCATCAAGTCAGAACTAGAAGATTACTTACCTGCCTTTGGATTTTTCAATAATGGAGTTTCTGGTCTTGTACTTCTTACCAGCCTATTCTCTGACTCAAGAGAAAGCACAGAAAGAAGATTTGTAATTGAAGAGTATTGGAAGAAATTAGAATACTGAGAATCAGTTTTAGAAATATTAGAGTCAGATAATAAATCTACCCAAAGCAGAGGTGTGGTAACACTAAGTGAAACAGGGTCAGAAATTGTAAAAAAAATACTAACCCAGAAACTAATGAAGAAAGAGATAATGAATTTTGGTATAGCTATAATAATGACAAAACTGTAATAACCCAAGAAGGAGAAGATAAATGCTATGAAATACATAAAGAAAAAGGAGTATTTATGATAAAAATAAAAAATGAAGATGAATAGAAGAAAGGTATTGAAGTAGAAAACATCTTATCAGAACCTAGCAAATAGACCCTTAACGAAATTAATAGCTAAGCATGAATCCAAAGTATGATACCACTATACTTTTAAAAAATAACTAGTAACTGTCATAGTGCTTTAAGCTTTCTTCACCTGAACTAATCCTACAGAAAGATCTTTTATGTGTACTTCTACCCAATAGAACTTGAACACTTTGCTCTAGAAGTAATAAACCAGGGCAAGACCATATACTTGACAGAGCAATTCAGATACTAACTTATTGCATATAATACAAGGAACCTGTTGATTTTAAAAGAATAGATCATAGCTAGTGCCCAACAAGAGCTAGTATGAAAAGAATATTTAATGACAACCAGAATTGACTTAAATTGCATAGAACAAATAAACATTGAAGCTATTAATGCTTATAAGAAGAACCAATTATGTGACTACTAATGATTTATAATCTTAAAACCAACACCTCCAAAACTAGCTCAATGCTTATAAAGTTATAAAAAAAAAAAAAAAACAAAGAGCAAATCCAAAACAGTAAACTATCCAAATCTGATGATAAATCTAATCCAGTCTAAGTAGTCAATGTTCTAACAAAAGAAGTCTAAAAATGAAAGAAGAAGACTATACCTGAATAAAAAGATATTTGCAAGAAGGAAATATAGAAAAAAATCTAGAAAAAAATAATGGAAACAATTGATTAATTATAGCAGATCATTTTGCCTAAAGAATGGTTTATTATATAGAATAAATAAGAAAAATAAAGACTAATCTCTAAAAGTAGTCTGGAAATACAAAATTGACCCTATCTTTCTATTAACGCATAATCACCTACTCAGAGGATATTTTGGAGCTAAAGCGATGTTCAAAAAAATCTGCAAGATCTATTATTGGCCCCAAGCATTTGAGTATATTAGAAAATATGTCTAATCATGTGAAAAATGTCAAAGAAGAAGAAAAAATAAATATAGCAGATCTTTACAGCCTATACCAGTTATAATACCATTTTATAAAGTAGAGATAGACATTGTTAAACACCTACTGATCATGCTTCACAACTTATAGTATATAGTTGTGGCAACTGACTATATCACAAAATAGCTAGAGGCCAGAGCTATTTCGACCACAAACATTCAAACCATAGCAGATTTTATCTTTGAAGATATTGTATTTAGGCACAAATGCCCCATAAAAATCCTATCAAACCATAGTACCCACTTTAAAAATCAACTAGTCAATAGGCAATTAAAAAAGTTCTAAATAAAGCATTTGTTATCGATGCCATACCACCCACAGACCAATGGGTTAGTAGAAAGGTACAATAAAACCTTATGTGAATCCATTGCAAGATTAATAGATAATGTAAATAACTAGAACTTGGTCATACCTGCAGTACTGTTTGCATACCATACTTTCCAAAATGTGATTATCAGAAATACTTCATTTTACCTGATATATAGAAGAAAGGCCTAACAACCTGTTAACTCTGATAATCTATTAGAAGAAACAATAATACAAAGAACATTTCAAT